CTATACCCTACTTGCCATATCGTCGTGGTAGGCCTTTAAAATACTTGGCACCATAGATTCTGGTATCACGAATCTCAATTGGTTTTCATCTTTTCGGTACACTAACCCATCTTTTAGCTCAAATCGTTCGTTTTCTTCAAATTCTAGTTTCTTACTAATTTCTAATATTTTTGGATCGGTTAACTGTCTAATTTCGAGCTCTTGTTCGAGGGGCAACTCTCTCACGTACGCTGCTGCTCTACTGAGTGCGTCTACGTGCGCCATGCGGTTACCCGGTCGATGCAAGAGCTTGAAGTTATAGTTCTGAAGCGCGATCGTCCACCTGGCAATTCGCGGATTCAGGTTCGCCTTATTAACTGCGTACACCACGGCGTTGCAGTCTGTGTAGATCGTGAAATTTAACCCGTACAGATACAGGTGGAATCTTTCGATGGACTTAACTATCGCTAACATCTCTAGCTCATACGAGTGGTATTTACTTTCAGCTTCGTTCGTGCTCTTGCTGAAGTACGCTACTGGTGCCCACGGCTGATTCCCTCGCCGCTGCAAGAGAATCGCCCCGTAGCCGGCACTGCTAGCGTCGGTGTGCAGTTCGGTCTCTGCCGCGTGATCGTATAATCTCAGTACTGGTGCCGAGGTAAGTTCTTTTTTTAAAGTTTCGAATGCTCTCTCACATTCTATATCGAATTTGTAGTCGACCGTCTTTTTTAGCAAGTTCTGTAGCGGTTTAGCTTTTACCGTGTAATCTTTTATGAACCTTCTAAAATAATTGGTCAAACCCAAGAACCGCTGTACTTCGTGTACATTTTTCGGTTTTTTAAATTTTTCTATCGCCTCCGTGTGTCTAGGGCTCAGGGTGATCGCGTTCTCTGAGACGACGTATCCGAGGAATTCTATCCTTTTCTTTAAGAATTTACTTTTCGCGTAATTTATCTCGAAACCATACATTTTAAAAATAGTTAGAACTTCCTCGATCGTTTTTAAATTTTCTTCAATCGTTTCCGTCGGTATTAAAATGTCATCTATATATACAATTACCCTATCCTGTCTAATCAGCGGTGTTAATATCTGCACTATTCTTTTTTGAAACTCCGCCGGGGCCTCACAATACCCGAACGGCAGTCTCTTGAATTCGAATTGCCCATCGGGCGTTGCGAATGAAAAATATTTTGTACTATCCTCTGTTACCTTTATTTGGTGGAAACCGTCTTTCATATCTAACAGGGTAAAGTATCTTTTATTGCTTATTTTCGACAAGCAGTCTTCGATAATCGGGAAAGGGTATTTCTGCTTCTCGACTCTCGAATTTAGTGGTCTCAGATCAACGCATAGCCTGGTTTGCCCTGTTTTTTTGATCACTGGTACTACCCTCGCACAGTACGGAGATATACTAGGCTGTATTATGTCTCGTCGCAACAGATCGTCGGTGATCTTTCTTATTTCTAATCTCTCCGCCAGCGCGAATCTTCGCGGTGCGTACGCGTATACCGAATCGTCCTTTATATTAACTTTTACCGCATAACCGTCCTCAACCTGTTCTAATTGCTTTCTCTGTGTTTCAAGGATAAGGAGTTTCAAACGTTTCTCTGTCTCCGAGTCGGCATCGGTTTCAATGTTTTCCAACGCGACCGGTATTTCGTTGTTTGTCCGTCTTTCGTCTACATAGCACGGAAGACAGGCAAACAAGTTCACCGCCTCTTTGTTTCCTTGACTCGGCGGCGAATACACCAATGTGAGTGTTTCGCTCGCCAGAAATTCTCTTCCCAATATTAAATCGGATTCCAACGGGTCACCTTTCAGAATGTAGACATTAGTTTGAAACTTCCTATCCTTTACTGTTTCTAACCGAAAATCAATTTCTACCATCCCTAATACTTCTAGCGGACGATTACTTAAATTTATCAAATTTTTATCCGATGATTTTACCGCGCTCGTGAATGTCTCTTTGTATTGTCGGTACGTACTATATTTAATGAAAGACACCGGACTTCCCGTGTCTATTAGGGCCAATAGATTACATCGCTCACCGTTGATGTCGCTAATTTTTATGTACGGATTTTCCAGCTCCAGTCTGGTACCTCTGCTCTGGACCATCGCCACTGACTCTCCTTCCGCCGGGTTGGCTGCGACCGTGGCTGCTACCTTAGGGGTCGACGTCTTCGTTGCTGTTCCGTGGTTCGCGTCCTTGGATTTCAGCTTCGGGCAGTCGAAACTGCGATGTCCCGGTGCTTTGCAATAAAAGCAAATGATTTCGGCCTTACAGTCTTTTGCTCCGTGACCCTTTTTCCCGCAATTCCTGCAAGTACCGTCTTTTGCTGGCTTCGTTTTGGCCGCTCCATTTGCCGGGTTCTTCCTGTCCCAGTCCGTTGCTCCGTCGGTGATACGTCTCATGACCTCCAAGAACTCCTCCATCGTCTTCGAGTTTAGTGATAGTGCCGTCGCTCTCAGTGACACTTGCTGTATGCCTCCGATAATCAGTTGGATTGCATCTGGTGCCGGAATGTTCAGCCGTTGGATCAAGGTCCATTTCTCGATGGCGTACTCGTCGAAGGTTTCTTTGTGGATCATCCATTTGCGCGCTTCTACCTTCTGCATTAACTTATGGTACGGTATCTTATGATCGAAGAATTTCTTCAATTCTTGTTTTAGATCCGTCCATGTCTCTAATGTCGTTCCTGTCTGTAGGTCGTACCATTTTTTTGCTGCTTTGGTAAAGCGACTCGATGCTGCCAGGAGTGTCGCCCCTGGTGTTGAGTTGTGTATCTCGGCCACTTTGTCCACTCTCCTGATCCAGGCTCCTACGTTGTCGTCTTCGGATCCTGCAAATTCCGGGATTTGTGTGGCCAAATGTGTGACGTTATTATTTGTGACCTGTCCCTCGGCCATCCTGTTACGCGTCGGCGACCCCGTCGAGTTGGTCGACTCTTCCGAATTGTCCCGATGGTTGCGTATCTGATTTGTGGCCTCGTTTCCCTGTAATTGGTTCGTCATCGTCTGGATGAGCAAGTTAAATTGTTGCTGCTGCTCCATGATTGTCCGCTGCTGCTCCGTGATTGTCCGTTGCTGTAGCTCGTGGGCTTTTCTCTGTTGCTCCATGAGCTCCTGCATGGATTCCATCATGCGGATCATCATGGTCTCCGTTCTATCTTGATCGGTTCCTCCGACCTTCCGTCCTTTATCAGTCGTCTTGGCTGATGTTCCTTTATCGCGGTCCTCGGCTGTCCCGCTTTTCTCCTGATGCGTCATCAGTCTCTCTATGAGAGCTTCTTTCCCTCCTGTAATTGTCAGGAGATTTTTCCTGGCTTCCTCTTGGAGCTGCTCCACATTCAGCCCCTCTAGCCTGGAGCGTTCCATGTTGAGCTGGGCCCGCGTAAATACCATACGCCCTCGAGGCTCGTTTGAACTCAACGGCTTTTTCGTGAATGTCTTTGTCTTCTCTCGAAGACTCGTAACTCGTAGTTTACGCGATTTCGCGGCGATCTCTAATCTGTTCGCTGTATATGTGTTAAGCTTCGCGGTTGATCCCACTTCTGATTTTTAGCTGTAGACTTTTTTTTAATCGATCTTGTCAGGATTAGGCGAGGAGGGGGTGGGAAACCACTGAAACTTGAACACTTGGTTAATCTTAATTAGACTGTATTTGAATGCCGATAACGATCACTACAACTGCACTCGATTAAACGTACTATCTCCGATACAGGATTCTATTGCGCCGCGTATATCGAACCCGCAGGACCGGCGCGTGTCCCTTCACGAAGGCGAGTGCCTTTCGGCGAGCTCGGCTTCGCCCCGGTTGGCCCGAGCTTGCACGCGCTTTTTGCGTGCTCTGTTTTCGCGCGTTTATTCTGTATCGTTCCCCGGGAGCAGGCGCGCTCTCCCGGCGAATATTCTTACAATTCTCCTACTCCTCGATAAGGAGTCAATCCTAATCGCTTACAAATGGGGGAGAGTGGTGAGCGCACTGACTCACCCCGACCTTTAGCATTCTCGAAAAGATAATGATCGCTCGGTCTAAACACGTTCGGCCAAAAGCCGAAAGACAAATACAACCGGTAAACATTATCCCGGGCAAACATTGCCCGGGGTCGGCTTGGAATTAGTAACGCACGACAACGACTATCTCCTAAGATAAGCAGAGAATTATATAAAAACGCCTACAGCGTCAGTTATTATATCGACAAAGACGTCCTGGCATTAGTTCGAAAGAATCACTCGTGGATAGAAGTTCATTTGTGCTACGTGAAGAAAATATCATGGAGAAATCGCGTGCTATTTGTGTAATTTGCATGAAAAAAGGAGACAATATATTGAAGTTCACAGAAAATACTCTTACAAGATGCCAATCAATTTTAACAATTCGTCAAAATAATAGTTTATTGTTCAATAATGTAGTCTTGCCGTTAGTTCCTAATGAGATTCAAGGTTATCATGTGCCATGCTATAGAAAATATACAGCTTTGGGGAAGAAAATCAGAAAAGCCTTGCGAGATCAAACCATTTCTGAAACGAGGTAAGTCAATATTAATCTAAACAATCAACGGAATAATTTTAATTATTTTTGTTCTGTGCAGTACTCAATATTGTTATTTTAAAAATTCCAATTGATATTTCATAAATATGAATGTAATTTATTATTAATTCTATTTCAGCACAAGTGCAGGAACTTCGGCTACTGAGACAAATGTAACATCAAGCGAGCCATCATGCTCTCGAACGAGGTACAAAAAATATTTGATAATTTAATGGCAAAGTGTTTTTGTTAATAGCATTTTTTTTAACTTTCACAAGTTATTTGAATACATAAATATATGACGAATTGTTTTTCAGTACTGAAGATAGTCATGCTGATCTAGAGCAAAGTACTTGTGAAACAGAGACAAGTAATTTACTCTGTTCTGAAAAATCAAGTAAAGATACTGGTGACGTAGGAGACGTAGCAGACGTAGGAACGAGTGATTCACCTGAGGTAAGAAGGACAAGCAGCCTAACATGTATTATCTGCGATAAAGCACGGAAGAAGCACAATGCACGTTGGCAATCACTGCACACATCAGAAAACAATAGTATTGCTGCTAAGATTGAAAAATGTGCCACTGAAGCTAACGATTTGACAATGCTACAGAAGATTGATGATTTTTTATGTTCGAATAGAATCATCACATATCACAGAATATGCTTGACTAATTTTGAACACGAGTGTGAGCGCAGGAAGCCTAAGCAACGTACAGAATATCACGAAGCGTGGGATTGTCATAAATTGGCTTATGAAGAAGTATGCAGTTACGTTGATGAATTTGTTATTAAAAACAAAAAAATCGTTTATCTCACACTGTTACGAACCATATATGTCAATCGTCTAAATTATGAGTATAGAAATGTCTTTAACGCCTCACCAAAACAGTTTCATTCCAATTACCTCGAAACTAAATTATTGGGAACATTTAAAAACAAAATCACAGTCATTTTACATAAAAAGCAAAAAGTAATTGTGCCATTCGGTGAGAGTTTTTCAACAGATGATTTGGACAAACTTGATGATTTCGATATTATTCAAAAAGCAGCATTACTTCTGAGGGCTAAAATATTACAAATCGAACGCAGGAAATTACCAGACAATGTCACTGTTGAAAATCTATCGGACGGGGAGTGCATAATACCCAAAAATCTTACTGATTTTTTTGTTACATTGTTAAGCGGTACAGAGTCACGGCGACAAAGTAGTATTAAGCGGCAGCGACTGACATCACCGTTCGCACAGGACGCGATTTATGCAGTTTCAAACGGGCGCATAAAAACTGGGAAGCACATAACACTTGCGATGGCTCTGAAAAGCTTAACTAGTAGCAGAAATGTTGTTAATATTATTAACAGGTTCGGTCATTGCTGTAGTTACACTACTACTGAAGAACTCGAAACGGAAGCAACTTATGCCGCTAGTTCTAGGTCACAAATTTGTCCCGACGATATCGTTCCAAAACCAAACCTTCATACGGGATTAGCTTACAATAATTTCGATCGATTTGTCGATACTTTAACTGGCAAAGACACCTTACATGATACTGTGGGAATTATATTTCAAGACATTGTTCCTGATATTGCTGAAGACGAAGATGCTGAAGTGCAACCCAGTAAAGAGTCGGTTAAAAAGAGACGGAGACGAACATATGATACTGTCAACCCACACCTGGAGCCTTATTCTAAGAGACCAAGAATGCAAGAAGTTTTACAACCATTGCATTCCGATGAACATTACACACCAGACAGTTTGAAAACACAACAGAGAGTAAATCTTGCGTGGATGTTTACTCATGCACTTGAAATTCCTGATACTCCGATGTGGGTGGGATTCAACAGTTTAATTCATATTGACGATTCGATTAAACAAAGAATATCATATCTGACAACAATTAATTTATCTCCGACTAATACTGCTGTCATACAAGAAACAATGATTCAGAGTCTAAAAGTTGCAGAAGAATGTGGTGAGACATATATACAAGTTAGCTATGATCTGGCTATTGCTAAAGTTGCTTTGCAAATACAGTCAACAGAAAATCCCCGATTTAATAATCTGTTTATTCACCTTGGTTCATTTCACGTCATGATGGCTTACTTTAAAGCTATTGGGAAAATTATCGATAATTGCGGATTGTCCAATATAATGATTGATACTGAATTATTGGCTAGTGGTTCGATCAACGGATTCATCACGGGTAAGCATTTCAACCGGTGCAAAAGACTCCATTCTATGATAAGTTTGGCAATTTCTATTCTACACTTCAAACGTTTTTTGAGAGAGAGTAATCTTGAAATTACAGAAGATATAATAAAGTATCTGGGAAATTTCTGTAAAAATCCCACAAGAACTCCTGTAATAGATTACCCGCCGCTTTTAGAGATCACCGAAAAGTACGAGAAATACCGTGAACAAACTCTCAATGGCGAACATGGCAAGACACCGCAGTTTTTCATGATTTATGCAAATCTCATTGAATACTATTTATTATTCAATGCAAGTATTCGAACGGCAAACTTCGAACTGTTCAAACATATGTTGCCTAAAATCACAAATTTATTTTTTGCTTTGAACCAGCCCAATTACGCACGATGGCTTGTTAAATACCATCATAATTTATGTAAAATTGATGACACTCATCCCGGACTTAGAGAGTCATTTAAACACGGTTCCTTTGGAGTAAAGCGGACTGATAAACCGTTCTCAAGACAGCCGATAGACTTGACGCTGGAACAAACAATAAATGCAGATGCGGCAAATAAGCTAACGGGTATACTCCATTTTACAAATTCTATAGCAGCCCGTCAACGTTGGTGTAAAAGCCACAGTATACGATCTTCGATAATTTCACACATCCTGCAGAAAACAGGTTTAACAAAGAATCAGGACATCACGGCGGATTTGGAAAAGAACAGAATAAAGAAGAGTACAGCACAATTAAATAACTTTTTTGAAGGAATTGATCGTAATTTGAATCCGTTTGATGAAAATATAGACAAGCAGAAACTTTTCAACATCTCCAACGGTCAAGCTGCATCCAGTTCCATTGCGGAGTTTTTATTAAATATTGAAATAAACGGTAATGAGTTGCGGGAAAAATTCATATCCGAATGCGCAGAAGACCACAACCGATTTGAGAAGCCAATAAAGAAAAACAAAATTGCAACGTTTGTGAATGCTTTAAAGAAAAAAAAAATTTCTGTACACGGTAAAGTACAAGAAATA